GAGGAGGAGGAGGAGGAGGAGGAAAAGGAAAACGCGGGGCACCACAGCATGATTGGGCAACACGAAGCACCTTCGTATTGCTCCCAACCCTCCTGTGCTGGGTTTTCGTTTTGAATACATCACCGTGGTCGCGTCTCAGCTCCTCCTCCTCCCCCTTCTCCTCTCTCCTGCCTCCTATCTCCTCTTTCCTGCCCTCTGCGTTTTCCCAACCCTCCTGTATTGGGTTCTCGTTTTGATTGGCGCAATATGCTCGCGGCTCCTTCTCTCATCTCCTCCTCCCCCTACTCCTCTCTCCTTTCTTCTCTCTCCTCTCTCCGCGCACACAGCCGGGACCTCGCGGCTCCCTTGGGGGCTGTTCTGTGTGAAACTGTCGCCACTTTCGTGTGCTCCCCGGAGGTCGCGCGGAGTGGAGCTGTACGGGGGCCCAGTTGAGACCTTGCGGCTCCCTGGGGGGCTGCGACATGAAACTGTCGCCACTTTCGTAGGCTCCTGGTAGGTCGCGCGGAGTGGAGTTGTATGGGGACCCAGTGGAGGCCACGCGGCTACATCGGGAGCTGCTACAGGTGAGACAGTCGCCACTTTCGTGGGCTTCTGGGAGGTCCTGCGGAGTGGAGTTGTGCAGGGATCCCGTCGAGACCTCGTGGCTCTCGGAGGTCGCGCGGAGTGGAGTTGTACGGGACCCAATTGAAGCCTCGCGGCTTCCTGAGGGGGCTGGAAGTGTGAAACTTTCGCCATTGTTGTGGTCTCCTGGGAGGTCGCGCAAGGTGGGGCTGCCAAGTGTAAAGCCTATCGCCGCTTTCGAGGGCTCCTGGAAAGTCCAGCGGAATGGAATTGGGCGGGGATCCCGTCGAGACCTCGCGGCTCCCTGGGTGTTTGCGAAGTGTACAATTTTCGTCATTTTCGTGGGCTCCTCGGAAGTTGCACGTATTGGATGTGTACGGGGACCCAGTTGAAACATCGCTGCTTCCTGGGTGGCTGCGAAATGTAAAATTGTCTCGGCTTTCGTGGGCTCATGGGAGGTCCAGCGGAATGGGGTTACACGGGGATGCATTTGGGACCTCGCGGCTCCACGGGGGGGCGCGGAATGTCAAACTGTCGCCACTTTCGTGGTCCCATGGGAAGTCCAGCGGGGTGGAATGGTATGGGGATCCCGTCGAAACCCCGCGGCGCCCAGGCAGGCTGCCAAGCGCGCAACTGTCGCCACTTTCGTGAACTTCAGTGGGGGTCCGGGGGAGTCTGTAGTCACGCAGATCCCGTCGAGACCTCGCGGCTTGCAAGGGGGGGCGGACTGCAAAGTGCGTAACTGTCGTCACGCCTGCGGAGGCAGGCGAGTTCGAGGTAGTTGTCCCCAGCGCTTCACTTAAGCAGGCGCCGGCGAGAGATGCAACTGACGGCGACTACTCGTATCCAAAATGGCAAGAATTTTTATAGCACGCAGCGCGCGGCGCTGTCCCGTCACGCAGCGCTCGGCGCTGTCGCATCGCAGCTCGCAGGGAACCGCTGCGCCAAGCAGCGCATGGCGCTATCTTTTGTCCGCGTGGCCTCCCATCCGCAGCTGCCTCTGGCCCGCCATGCCACCCCGTGCGCTTGCTTCGCCCAGCGCGACGCGCTGTTCTGCTACAGAGCGCATGGAGCTGTTCTGGCCCGCGTGTGAAGCGCTCGGCGCGATTGCTGTTACTGAAAATTACATGTACGTCCCCCTTCACCCTTTTCTGTCCGCTTCAGCCTCAGTTCCTATCTTGCAATTCCTGCAGCTATTTCACTGTACGTTTGAGATCTCGTTCGCAGTGCGGGTCCTTCACCATGTGTTGTTTACATTGAACAGGTCATATATGTGTATGCACATATGTATATGTATGTGTATGTGTATGTAAATGTTTGTGTATGTGTATGTGTATGAGTATGTGTATGCATGTGTATGTTTATGTGCCTATGTCTGTGTCTGTGTCTATGTGTCTGCATATGCATACGTATACGTATATGTATGTCTATGAATACTAGAAACTAGAAAGAACCATCGCGCGCGCTCAGGTTCTAGCCCAGGCCAGGGGGGGTACTGGAAGATCTTGGACAGCGCGATCAAGCACAGGCGCGTGGCTGTTTCACCGTGCTTCCTCCGTTGGCTGTTGGAGGCACCTCTTGGGTGCTTCTTGGTGGGGGGCGTCTCGTTCCTTGCTGGCATCGTCGGGGTTCTCCGGGCAATCGGAAAGTGATGCTCGGCAGTCTGAAGCCGTCATTGGCCGTCTTGGCTGCGTGGAGGCCCGATGTGAAGCCACCTGAGGCCACATTGAGGCAATACGGAAGCCTCCCGGGGGCCTCCTGGAGGCAGTTTTGATGCACCGGGAACACGGTTGGGCTATCTTGGGGCCTCCTGCTCGTCTCCTGGGAGCCTTTGGGGGCCTCTTGTGAAGCTTTTGGGGGCCTCGTCGGACCACTCGGGGGCCTCTTGGGGCCTCCTGTGAGCCTCTTAGGGCGTAAGGCTCTGCTGGCGGCGTCGCGTTCCCCTTCTTGGGCCCCTCTTGGGGCCGTTTTGGGGCCCTCTCGGGCCGTCTTGGGCGCCTCTGGCGCCGTCTTGGGGCCCTCGTGGGCCATCTTGGGGCCCTCTTGGAGGCCTCTTCGGCTATCTTGAAGCGGTCTTGGAGGCCTTGTGGGCCGTCTTGCAGCGTCGGGGTGCCAAAAGGCTACAGCCTCGAAAATCAGTCGAAAAACGATGGGAGAATAATGATTCTTGGCTCTTGGGGTCTTCGTGGGAGGCCTCTTGGAACATCTTCGGCCATCTGGGGAGCTTCTTGGGGGCCTCTTACGGCCTGCTGGGGGCCTCTTGGGGCCTCCTGAGAGCCTTTCGTGATGGAAAGCTCAATTTTTCGGTTCGTGCTACCCTCTTGGGCCCCTCTTGGGGCCGTCTTGGGGCCCTTTCGGGCCGTCTTGGGCGCCTCTGGCGCCGTCTTGGGTTGTCTTGTGACCGCGTTCGACGCCTCTGGGGCGTCTTGGAGAGGACACTGGGGCCGTCGTGGAGCGTCGGGAAACCGAAAAGGCGAGAACTCCCAAATCCTTCATAAACCTGAGGAACATGAATGCTTTGTGCCTCCTGGGGCTCCTTGGGAGGCATCTTGGAGGACTCTTGGGCCGTCCTGGAGGCCTCTTGGACAATCAGGGGTTACTTCTGTGGCACTCTCGGCCCGTCATTGGTCGCTTCCGCGGCCTGGAAGCGCCATTTCTGGCGCTCCGGTGCCGCCTGCGGGCGATCTTGCAGAGCCACTGGCGCCCCCGCAATGCCCCTGGTCCCCCCGATGTGCTGTCGAGGGCCCCGTCCCGGGCCCCCCCGCCTTCGTGCCGAGGGATGCGCATATTTATACATAAACATATACATATACAAATCAACGTTAACATACACATATATATATTGTTATGTAGCTGTAACCATGCATGCACACAAACATGTGCATGTGTTATGTATGTATATGTGTATCCTCGTGTGTGTGTGTGTGCATGCATATGTGTATGCTCAGTTGCATATATGTATGTAGATGCGTATGTATGTATGCATGTATGTATGAGTGTATGTGTGTGTGCATGTATGTTTGCACGTCAGCCTGCCTGTGTGCCTGTATGTATGTATACATGCATGCATGCATGCATGCATGCATGCATGTATATATATATATATATATGTATATGCATATATATATATATATATATATATTATATATATATATTATATATATAAATGTATATATATATATGCATGCATGCATGTATGCATGTATGAAGGTGTGTATGTATGTATGTATGCATGCATGCATGTATGTGTATGTGTGTATGTATGTACGTATGTCTGCACGTATGCATGCATGCATGCATGCATGCATGCATGCATGCATGTATGGATGGATGGATGTAGGTAGGTAGGTAGATATGTATATGTCAGAGGTTGGGGGGTGAGTCCGACGTGAAACGAAGGCCCCCTCTACCGGGAAATCGAGTTCGGCTTCGGGTTCGTGTCGCGCGTGCCGTGCGTGCGTGCGGGCGAGGCGAAGCTGCGTGGGCGGGCGAAAGGAAGTCCTCCTGTGGCTGGGCCACGGCCGGGCCAAATGTAACTCCTCCGGCGGCCAGTGCCGCGCGGTGTCCCGCCAGTGTCCCTCGGGTGTCCCGAAATCCTCCTGTGGCTGGGCCGCGGCCGGACCAAATGTTTCTCCTCTGGCGGCCGGTGCCGCGCGGTGTCCCGCCGGTGTCCCGTGGTGTCCCGTAGTGGTGTCCCGTGGTGTCCCGTGGTGTCCCGTTGAGTGAGACCGATCGTGAGATCGATGTGGTGCCACAAGGTGTCCCGTGGTGTCCCGTTGAGTGAGATCGATAATGAGGTCGACAGGTGTCCCGTGGTGTCCCGAGGTGTCCCGTGGTGTCCCGTTGAGTGAGATCGATAGTGAGATCGATAATGAAATCGACAGGTGTCCCGAGGTGTCCCGTTGAGTGAGATCGATCGTGAGATTGATAGTGAGATCGAGAGGTGTCCAGCGGTGTCCCGTGGTGTCCCGTTGAGTGAGATCGATAGTGCGATCGATAGTGAGATCGGCAAGTGTTCCGTGGTGTCCTGTGGTGTCCCGTGGAGTGAGATCGATTGAGTCAGATGTTGGTTCCCCCCCTCTCCCCCCCCACAACCTCCTTATCACCCGAAGGGCGGTCGTCTAGGTATCTGTATGTACACACATGCCTACATATATATATATATATAGGTTGATACATGTTCCTGCCAAGTGTTGATAGGGGAATAACAAACCTACCTCGCTTTTGACCACCCTCGCTTCCAAGAGATACCAAACGATGCCAGATTGCAGCCTGTACTGGTCAGGCCGCTCGACGAGGAGGCGCATGGCATGGCTTGGTGTTGCCTGTAAGCGAAAGCGGGGTAGGCAATTCACGCTCCGAGTGAAAGGGTTGGGTACGCCACTTGGTATTCTTCTCCACTGCGCCGGACACCTGGGCCCCGTTCCGTTCGGCCCGGCCTGCGCGAGCGTGCCGGTGCCGGCCCGGAGCGTCGAGGCCGGGCTCGCCACCCGCAGCGTCTGCGCGAACGGCCCGCTGCCGCCCAAGCTGGGCAGGAGCCTGGCGCTGCCGGGGCCTGCCGCCGCCCCTCCCGCCTCCTCCCGCCCTCTCCCCTCCTCCTCCTCCTCCTCCTCCTCCTCCTCCTCCTCCTCCTCCTCCTCCTCCTCTCTCCCTCTCTCCCCTCCTCCTCCTCCTCCCTCCTCCTCCTCCCTCCTCCTCCTCCTCCTCCCTCCTCCTCCTCCTCCTCCTCCTCCCTCCTCCTCCTCCTCTCCTCCTCCTCCTCCTCTTCCTCCTCCCCCCCCCCCTCCTCAGACTGTTGGATCTGGCCTAATAGAATTGCTTCTCAGCCGTTATGTAAGTGCGGCCTTCCGTGGCATGGGAAGAGTTCCCAGCCACTTCCCCCACCTCCGCCACCACCGTCAGCAGCGAAGTCTGGTCGCACAGAAAGGATCAAGGCTGAGGTAGCAGTTGGCAGGGAGAAGTCTCAATCCAAACACAAGCCCACTGTTCAGGTAGAAGCCGACAGTGAGATGACGCAGCCACCGCCGTCTCTTGTGGCAGTGAAGGCCAATCCCAAAGATAAGGCCGCTCGTCAGGTAGAAGCCGACAGAGAGCAGGGCCAGGATTTCAAAGTCAGGCGTCAGTTCAAGCTTTTGATCTCGGATGTCTTCCAGCAGTACGAACCGCAGATGCTGGATCAGTTGGACCATTTCTTGGACAAGTACAACGGGCAAGAACAGTTTCTTTATTTGGCAGTATGCGAGAAATTCAATGTGGAGCCTAAGGTAAAGGTTCAGATCACCAAGAAGGAAGACAAGCTTCCAGTTTTGGACAGCGATAGCGTGTCCGACTCACCTTCTGCCAGTAAACATGTCGACAGTCCTCGTTCGACTTCTCCAGAGCACGCTAGTAAGCGTGCAAAGGTTGGGCACAGCGATGCAGCCCCTTCCAGTGGTTCTGGCCCGTCCAGTTCAAGACTGCTGGAGTTAAAGTGTGGTCTCCAGGATATCAAGATCAGGCACCTCCAGCAGAAGCTAGAGACACTCCAGGAGGAGCCCAATCGTGTTAAGAATCAAAACGCAGCTTCAGGCAGTGCGCCTGTTCCTAGGAGGAGCAGATCCAGCTCAGACTCCACTTCTTCAAAGTAATTGGAGCAATTACGTTGGTAGTATCCAACTTTCTTTCAGCGGCAGAATTTGTATTGCATCTTGGGCAAAATGGCAACTTGAGTGTTGGCTTAGTGAGCATAATTCTTCGGCTACGGGTTTTGGTATAATCCTTTTGTGTTGGTCGTTTGCATTTGGGTAGGACAGTTGTCAGCTACCCAGCGTTATTTTACCTTCACGTCTTGTTTCCTTGGCCAGATCGGCAGAACTGTGAAGCAGGTAGCTTATCTGCAGTTTCTTCTTCATGCGCTAGTTGGGCAGAGGTATTTCAAGCCAGTTCATTTTACTTTTCAGGGGTCCAGGAAAGTCTGGCGAAGTAATCCCCTAGTATTCTCTCTTCCCTTTGGGGAACGGTAGGTTTCGCTCTGCTAGGGGACTCCCATTAGTATGTGGGAAGAAAGTTTACCCCAGTGCTTTTCTGTCTTGATCTCCTTCCCCTTCCATTGTCCTTCTGTCTTCCCCCCTCCCTCCTTCCTCCCTCCAGACAGTTCAAGGAATTGGCAGCCAGGTCACAGGCGAAAGCAAGTGGCCTTCCCTGGCGGGTCTTGCCATGGTCTCACCATGCTCGAAAGTCCGAACCTGCAAGTTGGCGTTCAAGGATTGCTCTTGTCTGGGGTGGGGGTTATTGGTGGGTGGGATGGGATTCTCCGCCCCGTTCTGGGGAAGTTCTGCATCGTTTCCGTTCTGGCCTGGGAACGGCCCATTAGAAGGTGGGCAGCGTTCAACCCGGGCGAGTTGTGTTTCATGCATGTCCTTCTCCTCCTCTCCTCCTCCTGGGGTAGGGTTCTTGGCGCCGACTCGGAACTGGCAACGCCCCAGGCTTGGACTGGGGGTCAGTTGCTGTCCGCAGAACGTGCTTGAGCTTTAGTTCAGCCCCGAAGCGAATGTCAAAACATGTCCTCCTCCTCCTCCTCCTCCTCCTCCTCCTCCTCCTCCTCCTCCTCCTCCTCCTCCCCCTCCTCTTCCTCCTCCTCCTCCTCCTCCCCCTCCTCCTCTCCTCCCTCTTCCCCTCCTCCTCCTCCTCCTCCCCCTCCTCCTCCTCCTCCTCCTCTCCTCTCGTCCTCCTCCTCCTCCCCTCCTCCTCCTCCTCCTCCTCCTCCTCCTCCTCGTCCTCCTCCCCCTCCTCCTCCCCCTCCTCCTCCTCCTCCTCGTCCTCCTCCTCCTCCTCCTCCTCCTCCTCCTCCTCTTCGGCCGCCGTGCGGCGCCAGCAGCGACGGCGGCGCCGAGGGGGTTACGGGGGGCGCAGAGGCATGTCGGTGGCGAGCGAGGGGGGGGCGTGAGGAGGAGGGGGCCTCCTCCGAGACGTGTCCCGTGCGTTGGGGTGAGGCTCCGAAGGCTTCTTGGAAGGCTGGGGGACTTCTGCTTCTGAGCCTGCTGAGAAGGCCCGCCCCTTCTCACGCCCCCCCGACAAGGCTCACCGCCGAGGGTGGGCGGAGGGGATGGGCGAGGGGACGACGACCACGACGGCGAGGGGCAGGAGGGGGCGACGACTACGACCACGACGGCGAGGGGCGGGAGGGGAAGGGGGGGGAGGAGGAGGAGGGGGGAGGAGAGAGGGGACAGGGCCAAGCTGGGTGCGTTCGCGCCATATCTGATATCATGTCCCTCCCCTGCATCCGTTCCTTTCGTATTGTTATTTTCTCTATCCGCGGACGTGTGTCATAGCCGACCTGGAACTCCACAACAAACCCTATTGTCTATCGTGCTGTGCGCAATTGGAAAATGGAAGCTGCGTGCGTAGGAGGAGGAGGAGGAGGAGGAGGAGGAGGAGAAGGAGGAGGAGGAGGAGGCGGAGGAGGAGGAGGTGGCGGATTAGCAGGACGATGAGGAAGAAGAAAAGGAGGAGGAACTGGGGTGGAAAGAATGGGAGGAGCAGGCAGCCCAAGGGAAGGTGGAGGACGGGAAGATAGAGCGGCGAGAACGTGGAACAAAAAGGCTCGGATGCAGAAAAGCGACCCGCGCTGAGGCGAGGGCGACATTCTGAACAACGGGAGCACGACGCCGATCCGAAAAAGACACTAAGGCTGCAGTGTGAACATCATTTTTGAAACACCGATAATAATCATATCGTAAAAAGACGTAGAACACATCAACGTGGTTACATCCTGTGCGTAAGAAACAAGACGCGTGGGGGGCGGAGATGTTCCGGACAAGGTCAGGGAAGAAGGGAGATTAGTATCCATATTGTACAACCACAAGGAGGAGTACGAAGAGGAGGAAGAGGAGGAGGAGGAGGAGGAAAAGGAGGAGGAGGAGGAGGAGGAGGAGGAGGAGGGTGAGGAGGTGGAGGAGGGAAACCATTTGGCTGATGTTATCTCTACTCGCCGACGGGTGTCATAGGAATCTCCTTCCCTTTGATCCCTTCCCCGTCGGGGGGGGGGGGGGGCCCGGGGGGGGGTGGGGTGGGGGGGGTCAGATACGACTCCGCCCCGGGGGCCTCCTCCTCCTCCTCCTCCTCCTCCTCCTTCTCCTCCTCCTCCTCCTGTCCTCCTCCTCCTCCCCCTCCTGCTCCTCCTGCTCCTCCTGCTCCTCCTCCTCCTCCTCCTCGCCCTCCCCCCCCACTTGCTCCCCTCCTCTTGCTCCTCCTCTACCTCCTCCTCCTCCTCTTCCTGCTCCTCCTCACCCTCGTTTTCATCTTCGTCGTCTTCAGGGTCGGCGGCACCGGCCGTAAGGCCTTCGCAATATGAAGATGAAGGAGGATGACGAGGAGGAGCATCAGCAGGAATCGGAAGAGCGGGAGGAGCAGGAGGACAAGGGAAATGCGGATGATGTGGAAAGTGCGGGGAGACAACACTGAGGAGGGACGAAGATTCAGAAAAGCGGCCCGCGCTGCGGGGAGCGCCATGTCGAACGACGGGAGAGAAGTTCCGATCGTGAAATTAAGGCCAGCGCTGCAGCGGGAACACCATTGATTAACATCGAACGCGTTCCGAATGTTGACCAATATGTGAAAGCCACACCTTGAATGTATGTGTAAAACACAAGCTGCGGAGAGGGCGTGACACTTCCAGGATGCAGTCTGCGGGGGGAGGAGAGTCGTATTCGTATCAAACGAGGTGCGCTCGCCATATCTGCCAACGTACCCCTCCCGCCATCCCTTCCAATTGCGCTGATGCTCCTCTTTCTGCGAACGCGTGTAATAGCGGACCTAGAACTCCAACCAAAAAGACTTCATCGTGTTGTGCGCCATCGGAGAAATGTGAGCTGCGTACCCCGGAGCAGGGGGGAGGAGGTGGCGGGTGAGGATGAGCAGGAGGAAACGGCGGAGGATTAGGAAGGAGCAGGAGGACGAGGACGAGGACGAGCAGCAGCAACAGCTGGAATTGGAGTGGAAGGAACGGGAGGGGAAGACCAGGGGAAGGCGGAGGAGGGGAGAGAGGGCAACATCGATGAGGAAGGACTCGGACCGATCCTGAAATGAGGCCAGCGCTGCACCAGGAGTACCATGCTTAAACACCACGCGGTTCCGAATGTGAAACGACGTTTTGAAAAAATATCCTGGCGACGGACCCGACCATATTCAGTTGTGAGTACCGTCGTTGCGAGTACCGCTTCGGCGGATCTCCTCATGGGGCCATGAAGCATGCGACGGGTGCGCCTATGTGGAGCGGGGCCGCCATTTGGGCGTTGCGACTGGTGCTCTAGGCGGAACCCACTGCGGGGGCGCGACACGTGTGAGCGGTGCGCCGCAGTGGGGAGGGGCCGCCACTGGGGCCTTCGGTGGGGCTCTCTATGAAACCACGAAGCGCTGTACTGGGTGGGGAAACGCACGCGAACACCGCCACTGAGCCCTTCGGTGGAGCTCCCTCTGGGGCCACGGAACGCTGTGCTGGTTGGAGGACGCATGCGAAGACCGCCACTGGGGCCTTCGGTGGAGCTCCCCGTGAAGCCATAAAACGCTGAACTGATT